TTTGATAACCCGGACTAATGAATTTTCTCATCCATAGCACGAACCCAGTTGAAGGCGCGCAATAAACCGGGGCTTGGTTTAAACTGCAATCCAATTTGGTTGGGAAAGTCACCATTTATTACTTTGACGAAAGAATTGATAACTTTCAACGTAACGCCCTAAGAAAAAATCTAATATATCTGAGAAATGTAGACAAGCCAGTAATAACGCAAATTTTATTATTTTTTTTAGCTATCCTTCTGTCTCTTTGCCTTCGACATTTCTGGATTTCGACGATCGGCAGAGGCAGTGACCCAAATGGAAGCTGATGAGACATTGAACTGTCTCATCTTGCCTCAGCAAGAAATCGCTCCATATCAAGTTCTGCATTTTTCCGAATCCCTTCCCTCAACCTCTCTTTCTCCTACCGTCTCCTTCACTTCTCCCTTTCTCTCCTCCCTTTTGGCCCTCTTTCACTCATCCTTACGTCCAGAACCCTCTCAGACGGCTCGACTGCTCAACTTATCAACCTCTTCTGGCTCATGTCTTTGGCTCAGAGAGGACTCTGTAGTCTGGGCCGCTTTAGATGCAGGTGTAGACCTTTATATCGCCTTCAAGATTGCAGCAGTGAATCGAATTGGGCTAGGGCCCTGGAGCGCCAGAATAGAGTTTTCCTTCTTTCGTGGTCGAGACAGCGATAGAAGTGAGTAACTAACCAAAGTGACTATTAATTATTTTTGCTTACTCTGTAACTGCATTTTGGAGGCATGCAAGCCTTAAATATTTGCCTTATTTTCTTATGACAACTAGCCAGAGTAATTTACATTTTCAATTGGGTGGATGGCTGAGTAGGAGACCTCAGTATTCACTATTTGGTCACGGATTAGGGCCGTAATAGAGACGATCATATTCATTGAGATGTATTCAATCTATTTTGTTTAAGGTAATGAGAAAACTGGTAGTTGAATTTCCCCACAATATTGTAGGCAGACATGGAGTTTCTATTGAATTTCAAATTATCTTGAAGGTATGAAGACCAAGATTGTGTGGCCTTTTGTGCGGTCGCAGTCTCCTTTCGATGTATAGAAATTGTTTGACCTTGTTTTCGCAACTTGGTCATATTGGTAGGA